TTTGTATTTTTAGTAGAGTCAGGGTTTTGCTATATTGGCCAGGTTCGTCTCCAGCTCCTGACCTCAGGTGATCTGCCCACCTCAGCCTCCCAAAGTGCTGTGATTACAGACGTGAGCCACTGTGCCCAGTCAACCATTTTTTTTTAAATAAGTGAGTCAACAAGGCAAGAGCATGGGGTTGAGAAGGGGGCTGCTTATAGGCTGTGACTTTCAGTCCTCTGGTCTGTGACCTTGGGATTCCTGGGAGATCTCACGTGATATTGGAAGAAAGCTCGCTGGTCCCACCATGTCATTCACATGCTCACTGGGGCCTCTCCATGCCAGGCCTTGCAGCATCTGAGGACACAGGGATGGATTAGACCCTCACGCTCAAAGGCTGTCAGCCTAGTAAGGGAAATAAATAAATGACCAGCATTGGGGAATGTGGACCAGTAGCAGGAGATTCAGGAAACAGTTAAAGGATACCAAACAGTCTGGGCTCAGTGGCTCACGTCTGTAATCCTAGCACTTTGGGAGGCCGAGGCAGGTGGATCAACTGAGGTCAGGAGTTCGAGACCAACCTAGGCAACATGTCGAAACCCCATCTTTACTAAAACTACAAAAAAAATTAGCCAGGCGTGGTGGCAAGTGCCTGTAGGCCTAGCCACTCAGAAGACTGAACTAGGAGAATCACTTGAACCCAGGAGGTGCAGTGAGCTGAGTGCCACTGCATTCCAGCCTGGGTGACAGAGTGAGACTCTGTCTCAAAAAAAAAAAAAAGGATGCCAAACTCTAGGGAGTTTGAGAAAGGCTTTGTGGAGGAGCTTTAAGTGTTGTATTTTTTTAGACAGAGTCTCGCTCTGTTGCCCAGGCTGGAGTGCAGTGGCATGATCTTGGTTCACTGTAACCTCCGCCTTCCGGGTTGAAGTGATTCTCCTGCCTCAGCCTCCCGAGTAGCTGGGACTACAGGAACGTACCACCACGCCTGGCTAATTTTTTGTATTTTTAGTGGAGACAGGGTTTCACCATGTTAACTAGGATGGTCTCGATCTCCTGACCTCATGATCTGCCCACCTCAGTCTCCCAAAGTGCTGGGATTACAGGCATGAGCCACCACTGGAGGAACTGGAAACAGCATGAGCTGTGTGATTAGAGTTGTGGGAAGCCACAGAAGACCTCAGAGGCCATGGTGAATCCTTGGGGCCTTGACCCCAAGGGCACTGGGAAGCCTCCAAAGGGTTTTAAGCAGGGCCAGATGTCGTGGCTCACACCTGTAATCCCAGCACTTTGGGTGACCGAGGCAGGCAGATCACCTGAGGTCTGGAGTTCAAGACCAGCCCATCCAACATGGTGAAACCCCATCTCTACTAAAAATACAACAATTAGGCGGGGGTGGTCCAGGTGCCTGTAATCCCACATACTCTCAGGAGGCTTAGGCAGGAGAATTGCTTGAACCTGGGAGATGGAGGTTGCAGTGAGTTGAGATTGCACCACTGCATTCCAGCCTAAGCAAGGAGAATGAAACTCCTTCTCAAAAACAACAACAAACCACAAAGGCTTTTAAGCAGAGGGTGGTCAGGCTCAGCTTAGTATTTTACAAAGACCACTCAGGCAACTGTGTGGTGGACCAGTTGGAGCCAAGCAGTGAGACCAGATGAAGCAAAGGAACCCAGAGAAGAAAAAGGGTTTTCTCAACAGTCTCTTAGTAATTAGTGTCAGCTTTAGACTTTCTAACTCCCAATGCAGTGAATTCCTCATAATTCTTACCCCATTTTACAGAGGAGGCAACTAAAACCCAGCAAAGGAAAGTCAGTGTGTCTAAGTGATAGAAATGGGAGTACAGCCCTGGTGATTCCCTCCTGCCCAGTCTTCTGGTACCCCTTTTTTGGGTGAGCTGGGGATAAGGGGCACTGTTGGGCTGTGCCTCCAGGTGGACTGAAGAATGCATGTGGCCGCAGGGCGTGCTGGTGAAGCACAGCAAGAATGTCTACAAAGCCGTAGGCCACTACAACGTGGCTGTCCCCTCTGATGTCTCCCACTTCCGGTTCCACGTGAGTCTCCTCCCCGGGAAGGAGGGTTGGGCCCTGAGGGAGAGGGTGGGAATATCTGCAGGGCAGGAATGTGATGTCATAGCAAGACAAAGCTATTTTCAGTATTTCCCCAATCCAAAGGAAAACAGTGCACACAGGTAGCACAAGGACAGCCATACAAATTGTCACTTAATAACTGCAGCTAGGCCGGGCATGGTGGCTCACGCCTGTAATCCCAGCACTTTGGGAGGCCAAGGCAGGCAGATCACCTAAGGTCAGGAGTTCAAGACAAGACCAGCCTGGTCAACATGGTGAAACCCTGTCTCCACTAAAAATACAAAAATTAGCCAGGCGCGGTGGTGCATGCCTGTAGTCCCAGCTACTCGGCAGGCTGAGGAGGGAGAATCGCTTGAACTGGGGAGATGGAGGTTGCAGTAAGCTGAGATTACGCCACTTGCAGTGAGCTGAGACTCCAGCCTGGGCAACAGAGCAAGACTCAATCTCAAAAATAAGTAAATAACTGCAGCTTATTTGGTCGCAGACCTTTCAGAACATTGGACAGAGGGAGAGACGCTGATGCAATAAAAGAAGGGGCTCCTGGCAATGAAAGACAATACTGTCTTCATTTCTTACTGTGTGCCAGGCATGTGGTTAAGCACCGCCCATCCACCCTCCTAGTCAGCCTTCCCCTGAACCTTGTATGTGAAAGATACAGTAGGGCTATCTCTGTTTTTAGATACCGAAATCAGCTTAGAGAGTTAGCTCGTGAAGGAGTGCCTTACTGGGAAACTTGAGAACTAATGGTAATGACTCATGACTCAGCTATGGAAAGGGCTGCTCAAAATCATCTAAACTAGTGGTCTCTATTTTCTTTTTATTTCACTATCAAATCTGCCCCCTCACACTTTTTAAAAAAAACATACAATCAGAGGCCAAAATCCAATATATGGGACCTCCTGGCACTGCTCTCTTTGGAGGAGTTAGAACCCCCTTCACTTCCCGCTCACCCCTACTGTAACTCTTAAAGAACCCCCTGGAAACCTGGGGCTCTAAGGAACACAGTATGAGAAATCAGTGACCTAGGCTGATATCTTCATTTCATAGTTGAGAAACCCAAGGCTGAGAGGAAAGCAGCTTGCCCAAAGTATTGCAGCCTGTTAGGTACAGATCCGAGCCTGGCATCCTGGTCTCTCCATCTCCTGTTTCCTTCTACTTCTCCTGTCCTTTAAGCAGCTCTTGAGATTTAGGTACCTTGGCCCCTGTGGAATCAGAATCTGTAGACACTGCACTCTTTTGAACTGATAGAAATTTTTTCTTTAGTCCCTACACTCTGTCTTGCTGTTGAGAGTTGAGCTGTTGCCATGTCCCCTGGCAGCTTCCAGCCTAGCTAGGGATGCTGCCTATGACTTCATAGTAGATAATTCAGGCTGTGGAGTCTGTAATAACTTTCCATGCTTATGTCATAAAATTCTAATTTGTTGAGGCCAAATAATACCCAGGAGGATGATATTAAAAGCTGTTGATTTTGGCCAGGCACAGTGGCTCATGCCTGTAATCCCAGCACTTTGGGAGGCCAAGGTGGGCAGATCACCTGAGGTCAGGAATCCGAGACCAGCCTGACCAACATGGAGAAACCCCATCTCTACTAAAAATACAAAAATTAGCCAGGCGTGGTGGCACATGCCTGTAATCCCAGCTACTCAGGAGGCTGAG